TCCCCGCGTGACAACCCTGGGTGCCAGCTGGAGAGACAGCTGAGGAAAAGAGGGCGAGAAGAACCAGGAAGATAGAAGAGATATGGCAAGAGCGGCAGAGGTTGGAGGCGGCGGGGGCACTCCCGGGTCAGCCACCCAGCGAGCCAGCTAAGGCCCCAGAAATCCCAGAGACGTGGAGGGACTTCTGGGAGCAGAGAGGAGAGGAGCTCCCTTCGCCAATCAGAGTCGGGTTTGGGATAGCAAGAAAGGCGGAAGAGAGATTGGATCGCAAAATCAAGTTCCTGGCCAAGACAACTTTTAACCGGCACTTGTTATTGGAAAGCGATCTGGCTGGGAAGAAGACAAAGGAAGAAGGCCATGGAGTACGCCTGGAGGCTATGGAGGTGGAAATCCAGGAACTCAGGGCATTGGTGGCCAGTCAGGCAACCATCATCGAGAGCCTGAGGAAGCAAACTCAGGGAAAGGTGGACAAGCCAGAGAGCAGCCGGCAGGGAGAGCAGAGGCGGCCAGGACAGGGGTTGTCAGGGCAGCCATCTGCAGCGGAGCCCCGCCGGGAGCCACCTATGGGGAGAGTTATCCTGGAGCCAGAGGAGGCGAGAGCCCAGAGGGAGGCGGAGAGAAAGGCCTTCGAGTTCAGAGCCCCTACCGAGCTCGCGACGCTACCTGTAGCAGCGGCGGACCCAGTCGTACCTTTGGCAGTTGAGGAGGGACTACCACCATCTAGCAGTGAGCCGGCTCAAAGCTCAGCAGAGGGATCCATGAGCGTGCTCCTTGAGGCACTGTATACTATGCAGGAGGAGGCGAGTTTGTTTTCGCCCGAGCAGAGGATAGAGGAGTCTCTTGAGAGAGAGATGGGGATTGAGGTGGAGGGTGTCATCGAGGGCGGGCTCCAGAGGTTGGGCACGCCTGAGTATGAGCCAGAGGAGATTGAGGAGCAGCCCATGGTGGTGCCAGGAGAGATGCTCGAGAGGAGACCTCAGAGGTTGGACGCGCCTGAGTGCGTCCCAGCGACAGGGTAGCAGACTGGGATCTTGGGCTACTGGATCTGGGTCTGGGGGACCGGTTTCTGGGATAGAGCAGCAAGAGGTTGTTAGTACTGCGGCCCCTCAATCAGTGCAGCAGGGGGTTGTCAGCACTATGGTAGGGTCTCCTTCATCGCCACCTCCTCAGCCCAAGAAGAAGAAGTTTAGGAGGAAGGTTGATCAGTTATGCTTCTACTGCAAGAGGGGCGTGCATCAGGCTCTGGATTGTCTCGAGTTCCATGAGGATAAGGCAGAAGGGAAGGTCTCAGAGGAAGGGGGTAAGATGTACGATAGACAGGGTAGGATTTTGGAGAAGTCAGCAGATGGAATTAGGGCTCAGCTATATCGGCAAAACCAGGAGGAGTTGAGGAAGTAGGGTTGGTTTGCCTATGTAATTGGTCGAATATCTTGTGAAGCATCAGCTTAGGCTCTGTGTGATACCCTCTTAGACTTAGAGGACCTTTTGATGATTGTTAATAGTTTAGATTTGAACTCTTACATTCCTACTGAGTTGGGATCTTGAGGATCAGGGTGATCCCGATGAGGCATGTATATATTTAGGTGGCCTACACCCTGGTCTTTGGGAGACAGATCTGACATGTATTTTAGGGATAGTTGTCAGTGTGAGTTTGATGTGGTTTGGGCTGAGTGAGCTATGATTTGGAGACACTTTCTGTGTGAGACATTTTATTCCCTGAGTGTATATTATGATGAGTTTTTTTCAGGGACCATTCTTTATATATGACGATCACTTGTCTCTCTCACATGTGTGGTTGTACTCTGATGTATGATGGGTTTGTGTGGACAATGTGTAAAAACATCTCATTTGTCATGTGTATTGTGAATGTGATTGTAAGCAAACTGTCTACTCCTCGGTATACTTGTGCGATCTGCCCTTTGGCAAAAGATAAGGCAGGGTATAAGAGGAGGCAGTGCAGTTCGTATTTGTGAAAAAGAGATGTGAAGATCTCGAATATTCATAATGAATGATTTGTTGTTTGAATTGTGCAAAAGACCCAGGAGTTGGTCTCCTCATATGAATTGCATTATGGTTGGGACACCTTTGAATGGGAAGGTAGTCCATTGTTTGATTGAATGACTCATCTTCAGAGAGGGAAGATGTGTTGAAGAAAAGGTCGTGAGAAAATTCATCCCAGAAAGAGAAAGATGACTGGGAGAGCTATTGAAGTGAGACCTACTTTATATACGAGGTGGTTAATAAGATCGATAATTGAAAGATTGATTTTGAATAATAAAAGACTGATGAGAGGGACCAAGTTTTGTTTGACTATTGATGAAATTTTTGGATGTCGCAAATGATGCATTTTAAGAGATGTTATCAAGATGTGTGACTTTCTCGCTCTGATTAAGTCGGGAGACCACGGCCTTGTGAACCAGGCGGTGATTCTATTTTGTGATTACGAAGAGGTTGTCGTGCTTCCTCTGTGTTGTCCCACAGAGGGACTGGTAAATACCTTTATGTGCGACAGGTCTATGCGTAGTCCCGCAGTAGGCTTGTATTGTTGCAACACACCGTCCGACCGCTTGTACTAATCTTGAACATTTATAAGAGACCCAGCTAGGGGTATAATTAGCATCACTAAGGCGCAACCTTTAGTGTTGGCCGCTGTTTGGCACAACCTGAGCAGAGGGCATACGTCTGGCCAAGGGAGTAAAGGCTTAAAGCGGCGTGAACGCCTATGAGGGTTTTACTCCTGCGGAGAGGCGTGGGATAAGAGTCGAGTCATATGAGTCTTTTTTAGGAAGTCCTGATTATCAGGAACAACCTATCGTGGCGCAACCCGCGAAGGCACTACCGCTGAAATAACAATGCGGTGGGTCGTAGATCAGGAACGATCACCCAGACTATGGTGGGCCAAGATGGAGACCTAGTCTTCCTGTACTAGACTACAGGGAGGTTTATGTGGAGATTTATACGGTATATTTATATGTGCTTAATTTGAAGTTTTTCTTAGAGAGGCGAGAGAATGCCTTCAAAGGTCTCGGTTAGGGACCGCGCCCCTAGTCACGACCTTGGTTTCAGGGGAAGGGCTGGGGGCACACAACGAGGAGCTGGCGGTTGTCTAGGGCACATGGAAGAGGACAGTGAGAGATCTAATGAAACTTATGCTGTAGTACAATGAGGAGTATCTCGGCGTCCGATTGTCAGGATGGCGGAGACCCAGGTTGGAATCCTGGCAGCATAAAGTTATGTTTGACATTGATTATTGGAGGCCTCGAACCTGAGTCTGTCGGTCAATCGGATTGGTACCCTGCTCGTCAGCACCGTGGACTGTAATTGGACTGATAGCTTTTTGATCCTGCGAAGCGACGAGGACGTCGCTTAATATGGTCCGGTAAGCTGTCGGCGCGAATACCCTTACAAGGGTATCCGCCCTGTTTTTTGCACTGGACAGAGAATAAGTTAAATTAAGAACTGAATATGTCGCACGAGTTGCAGCAGGGTCTGTCGTTTACATGTGGCCGGATGGCTGGCTATAAGTAGAGAGTGTGGGGGCACGGAGGCTTAAGGCGCGCGTGATTCTTTTCTACTGTTGATCATCGGTCGTTTGGTTAATGGTATTATTAATTTTTATTTATACTTGATTAAGCAGGAATTAGGGAATATGTTTCTTTCGATGAATACGTCTGACCGAATCGAGCGCGCGTGCGGAGAACGACCCCGACGACGGCATTGGCAACGACGGCGTGACTTCGTGTGGTAAGCAGGGTGTCGTGGGATGGCGCGCGAGGCAATTATGGCACAGGATAAGCAAGCCGGTGCGGACATTGGGAGCCGCGCAGCCGGTTTGTTGGCTCAAAGCGTCGCTCCGCACTGCCTTGTATGGTACTCTGCGGGCGCTGGTCTCAGACTTGGGCATAGCCCTATAGGTTACGACAGCGGATTGTTACCATGGAGGTTCGGGGATCGAGGTCAGCGGGCGTCGGCGCGACGGCGGCGGAGTGTGGGGCTATCCCCCTTGGCTTTGCTTATGGGTGCAGCAGCGGCGCAAGGATGTTGGAATAGAGCGAAGGGCCCGGCGAGGTGATCCCCCGTGGTTTTTTGCAGTCCATGGGGTTGCGCGGCAGGGCCGAGGGTGGCAGTAGAATTTCCTTTCCCTCCCTGCTTTTATCAGGCGGCCCTAGTTTGAAGTTTCATGATTATTATTTATCTTTTTTTATTATTATCATTTTTTTCTTGTTGCCAGCGTGGGGGTGGGTTGTAGTGGTCGGGGAATCCCCCCCCCCCCCATATCGGCCTTCGGGCCCCCCCCCGGCATACGAAGGTCCAAGGTTTATCGCCGAGACTTGCACTGGGCTAGTTACCCTGTAAGCCTATGCTACAGGCCGGGTAACAGAGTTGTGCCCCCCGGCTCTTTGAAGAGCCGGAGTGAGCCAAAGTGGCCGAATATGGATTGCAGGTCTCGGCATTACCCGTTGCCAGCCTGAGCGATTCGATAGAGGAAGACGCCCGCCTCCTTGGCAGATTTCGGTTTCCTTGACCGCCACCCTGATATCCTATGTCAGCCGGCGGCCTGTGTAAGGGCTGGGAAGGCCGAGAAAGGAGGCGGACGAGAATCGGTACTAGGTGCGTGTGACGGGGAGGGGAAGGGCCGGTCGGCCTTTGGAGGTGAAGTGCATATATCTTGGGAGGTCCGACAGTCGACCACTTTTCCTGTTCACACTCAGACATTCGGTTGGCTGTCGGACCGTACAGCGTAGAGCGCCGAGGTTGATGACAACGGGAGTGAGGGGGAGAACTGGGATGAATCGGGGCAAGGGAAGCGTCAGGTGCATGCGCTTCGAAGAAGACAAGGGCGGGCGGAATGGTCGGACGTAGGCTGTAGGTGGGCTCGCTGGCAAGAGGGGAAGTGACGGGGGCGAAGGCGCCGGGATGGCCAAGCGGAGGGGGTGAATGTGGGCACAAGCCGGTGAGGAACGAAGCGAGTATGGGTATAGTAGTGGGGATAGAGCACTCCTTGGCCGCCTCTGAACGGATTTGAGCAAAGGAAAGTGCCATACCGAGGGTTTGACTTCGCGCGACCCCGATTATGAGATCGGATTTAGACAAAGGTTAGTAAGTTTAGAGTTAGTAGGAAAGATCACTGCGCGGGGGTGTYGAGCGGGGGGGGATATGGCCGCATGGGAAGATGAAGATCTCACTCGGTTCTCGATGAAATCGAGMGAGTGAAGATCCGTTTCTGGGGTTTTTAAGGCGGGCGACCTCTACTGTGGAGTGAGTTTTAGTAATGAATTAGTAGAATAGGAGGTTAGTAGGAAAAAGAACGNTGGAGTGAGTTTTAGTAATGAATTAGTAGAATAGGAGGTTAGTAGGAAAAAGAACGTGTCGAGCTATGGCGGAAGCGGGGGTGAAGTGAGGAAGGCATTCGAAATACCACTCGATTTGTAATGAAATCGAGTGGAATAAGGGTCGGGATATCAACTTTAAACTGGGGCGACTTCAACTATGTAGTTAGTTTTAGAAGAAGGTTAGTAGGAAGGGAGGTAGAAGAGGGAAGTGATGCGCTGAGGATTGGCGGAGGTGAAATAAAAGAGGAACTGAATCTGGCGCGATTTCACGCAAGGTGCATTCGAACTTAAAGGAGGAAGGCAAACGCATATTGCGTGCGTTTGTGGATGAATTTCGGCGGGATAAAGACCGAATCCATGATTTGTAAATTGCGCGACCTCGAATAAGAGGTTAGTGGTAGTGTTAGACTAGTAGATCAGGAGTTAGTTGAGAAAAGGTGTGTCGGGATATGGCAGGAGGAGACGATGGGAATGGTGGGTTTGGATATAACTCGATCTTTGAGGGAATCGAGCAAAGGAGGAGTGAAAGTGGGGGTTTTGTTGCATGGCGAAGTCAAGTGTGACGTTAGTTCTGACAGGAAGTTAGTAAATCGACCTATATGAGGGAAAGGTCGAGCGCAGAGATAGTCGGGAGTGAACAGGGAGAGGGAAAGTCTTGCTCATGAACCTGTCCACGTTTTAAGTGGAAGATTCAGTCGATTTTGCTCGTCCAGTTGACAAAACTGGATCGAGCCGGGAGCTGCGCCTAGGAGAGGCTA